CTGGCTATTCCATCCCGAGAGGAAGTCTTGCTGCTGTTTTTACAACTTTCATCACATATAATGTGCTGAGTCTGCTGGCGGCATGGTCCTGTGACCGGTTAGACACACAACACACACAGATACTCTGAAACAAGTATAAACAACTACTCTTGTTTAAGATGTTGACAGTCACTGCTTTCAGAGTCGGATCTGTGAAAACAAAACTGTCTGTTTTACAAAAAAATTTTTTCCTTCCCACTGTCACTAAGTGCTTGCTCACAGGAGGTCGTCTGATTGTTTCTTTCTAATGTTATAGCATCCTTACCTTACAATATAAAGCACCTTGGGGTGACTGTTGTTGTGAATTAGAACTATATAATTAAAATTTAATAAACTTTTTAGACTTTACAACTAGTTTCACATGTCAAATTTTCCCAATTTCTCCTAGTTATCTTCTCCAAAGAGACTACAGCTTCCTGGGGGACATTAATATATTGCCACCCATGGTCACAGTTGGCATTTACTCCTCGGCCCTGTCTGCAGCAATGAGTAACCTTATTGGAGCCTCCAGGGTGCTGTACGCCCTGTCCAAAGACGACCTGTTTGGTGAGATTCTTGAGCATGCGTTTTGCTGCCTGATGATTGTAATTTGGATTTCTTGTTGTCTCTAACATTAACAATTTCCTATAAGAAACCATCAGATGTGGATGCTAACCTTTCCTGTAATAAAAAGGAGTTAATTACTAATGATCAGGCTGAAGTGTTGATCTGGATTATATAAAAGCATATCCAATTCATCTGGTCTTCTGTAGCTGAGTCGACATTTTAATATTCAGCCATCTGCTGAGCTGGGTCTCCATCTCAAGTGTGAGAAATTGTCACTTGTTATTAATTTCATCATGTGTCATTTTCCAAGTGGAGACATGTTAATCTGGAAAGCTTCGTTTGACAACAGATGGCACGCGGTGTTGACTTTCTCAAAAGGAAAAAAAGTCCTCGTGTGACTCAGTTATTTATTGGATTTGGGACGATGAGCGAAACAGACAGAGAGACTTTGCTTTTGTTAGTTGTCTAAATCTCTGCAGGCGGTGTTCTGGCTCTGGCAAGGAAAACCTCTCAAAATGGAAACCCCTGGGTCTCAGTGCTTGTCTCTTGGTTGCTTGTGCAGGTAGGATATCAGTATCACATCATATGTTTGCATTTTCCTCTGTGCTTGAAGTTTAGACAGTCTCGCCTTGAAAGCAGATATCTCATTAGCTTATAGGCTGAGCCATCTTACACTGATTGTTTACACATACCCAATAATCTAGGATACAGCAACCAATTCAAAATACCTGATGAAAATAGATGAATGGTAAAGGGCAGACACATCATCCTCCAATTCTTCTTGGTTATACTATGAAGTCCTTCCAAACACCTCAGTTCAGCATGACACACAGGTTTTCTTTCTGCAGTCTAACGTCCTCTTCAATCAGTTTCTTGCGTCAGAGATGGTCCGCCACAATACCTCTTAACATCTGTGTCCCACAGCGAGGCAGCCCCAGTTGTCTCATGTTAAAGCATCACATGGCCATCATGAGGTAGTCGGTGATTGCGGGTGACACTCAAGATCTTCAGTAGGTTCCTGTAGGTGATGGGGCTCCTCCTGGAAACATTTAGGATGGCACGAAAAGACTGCTGGGTGGCAGATGTGGCTAATAACCTCTTCGTAGGACATGCTCGTTAACTACTAACTGAAAACACTGCAGAGTTCATTCACATCACCACAGACAGCAGCCTGTCTTGCAGCCTGATCATCACTTTGAAAACGAGTTTTTGAGCTCTCTGGCAAGAAAACTGAAGAAATTTTCATATAAAGGTGCAGGAAGACCCAACACTTGGAAAATACTGCTTTCTAAAACTTCTCTCCACTGATGTTGATGTTGAGGTCTGTCAGGTATAGTCCGTGTACTAACAAGAGGAAACCTCACCCTTCTTGAAGACTGCAGTTGCCATCACCCTTTCTTACAACCACCTTCTGCTCAAACTAGTACATCAGTATGATCAACATTGGCCCATATTCTGACAACACAGAGTCCTGGAAGAGGCCACGGCCCCTGTAAGGAAGTCTGTCAATAGAAAATTGTACTTAGTAGTCAGTATAATCTTTTAATAATATAAGTTTACATATAGTAGTGATAGGATATGCGATCCTTAATAGTCTGCAAAGGCTTTGTGTGCATTCCAGAGTGCTCTGGCATTCACACCCACATCCTGGGAGCATGGGAAAGGTCGTGCCTAAACGTAGCTATGTCAGTTTTAGTCTAAGTGCCTTTTTTACATTTAGATGAACTGTTGGATTTTCCAGACCAGCAGGTTTAGGGAAGTCGTTTATGGGGTCACACTCTGACACGCACGCACGCACGCACGCACGCACGCACACACACGCGCGCGCACATTCCAATGTAAGGAATAAACACCCACTGATGTATGAAATAAAGACCAGGGCAGTCTCAGAGTGCGAGTCCCTGAGCCCTCACTCTCGTGCGAGAGCTCAGAGCTGCCCTTGCTAAGCAACAAGTAAAACTGTGTGTTTCTCCTCTCTGATTCTCAGCTAAAGAAGTGTTTTAGAATACATCTCTTAACAAAGTCATGCTTTATTGCCTTGATGATCAGTTGTAATATATTGTTGAAGACCCTGCTGGAGTACAGTTTCCCCCCGACAGTCACTTGCACCTTTAAAGTTATATCATTACACTCGACACGCTTTGCAGTACTGATGGCCCAAATAAGAGAAGGTTCCCAGCATGCAGCTGTTATCCTTCAGAACCTCGATTTTGCAGATAACATCTGCCTTCTTGAAGACACGATTGAAGTTGCAAAATAATTTCTGCACAGACCCAAAAGTGCTACTCAGTCTGTACCTTAACACTTTTAAGACCAATGTCATGCACATCAGTGGACCAGCTTATTGCCCATTTGCCAAGTATGGCTCTGCCATCAAACCGTAGACGCCCTCAAATGCATGAACATGTTTACAGTGGCAACTGTGACTAGGCGAAGCTTGGCGAGATTCTCGTAGCTTTGCCAAAGTGCAGAAGGCTCAGATTCAAAGGTTAACCAGACTTAAAGTGTCCAAGTCACATTTTGAAGGGATCTTGTTCTCTTGGTCTGAATTATGGACCCTGAATAAAATTTGAGGAAACTAGTGAAAAAGTCAGTAATAGCATATTAAGAAAAGTAATTTAAAAAATAAAAGAAAATCTTTCCACTTCCACCCTGTCTTCTGTTTCTAATACAGGTGTGGAAAAAATAAATTAGGATGTGTGTAGTGATGCTGCATCAGCACTGACGTCATACACTGTTTGCTAAAGGTGCAGTGCTGTCTGCAGATGATTGTAAATGAAAGCGGGAACAGAGGAAGAAAAAATCAAGAGCAGACAACAAACCGATAGCTCATTTAACTTTGCTCATTCTTCAGCCGCTGCTCAGCGATGCAAAAAGACTTTGAGCATCATTGTGCTCAGCTTCAGATTTTCGCTCATTTGTCGAGTGAAGAGGACTCACAGCTTGAAAGGTTCTGGCAGGGAGACGGAGCTGAATGTTGTCAAACTAATAAGTGAATTCTTACAGTACCATGCTGCTTAGCTTCAGCTCATTAGCTCGAGTGAAAGGATTTTTGTATTTTAAATTTTATCCTGTAAATTCAGATACAGTGTAGCTGTTTAAATTTGTGGTGTCGAGGCAGCCGGGGGTTCAAAGCTATCATAGTCGATGTATAGTGAGTTTTATTGTTGCAAACATTGTTCTGTTGCATTTTAATGGTGCATGTCAAAGCCTGTTCACTTGGTATCATTTGACTGGATATTTTTCTGGACTAAAACAGAAGAATTTTTGGTCTCAATGGCATATCAGTTTGAGATTTTCTACTAAAGCCACTTTTAATTTTCACTAAAACCTGTTTTTTTCCAATCGCCTCCACTAGATGGTGCTATTTGCAGGTAAATTGAACACCATTGCTGGTATTGTAACCATCTTCTTCTTGTTGGTGTATGCTGCTGTGAACCTGGCCTGTTTGGCTCTTGAATGGGCTTCTGCACCAAACTTCAGGTACAGTGCAGCATAAGGCAGTGGCTTACCTTTCTGCTTTAGATTTTATTTGCACAGGTAAAACCAAAATGGAACATTTTCATACATGTTCTTTCATTTTTGTTTATTTCTTGTTTTATATTTAGACCCTCGTTCCGCTTCTTTACATGGCACACCTGCACTCTGGGCATCCTCGGCTGCCTGGTCATGATATTTTTGATCAATGCAATTTATGCATTTGCCAGCATAGCCTTTATGCTGGTGCTCTTGATGCTTATCCACTACCTGGGGCCCATCAGCAACTGGGGCTACATCAGCCAGGCCCTCATCTTCCACCAGGTGCATAAAGTGTTTTTCACTCACATGAATCACAAATGTGACATAAATATGCATGAATCACTTATATTTAATCATTATTTACTACTCTTTTCCGTAATTACCAAGGTGCGTAAGTACTTGTTGATGTTGGATGTGCGAAAGGACCATGTTAAGTTCTGGAGGCCCCAGGTGCTTCTGATGGTTGCAAACCCTCGCAGCTGTACAGGCCTCATGACTTTCATTAATGATCTGAAGAAGAGTGGCCTCTATGTGCTTGGACACATAAAGCTGGGCTTGCTGGGTAAGAAATGTGTACGCTGGAGCCCGATCTAGTGGATTATTGAGTACTTTAGGTCTTAGAGGGCGATATTTGTACCTCAGTTGATAGTCTTTGATGAAAAGAGCTGTTATTTCTGTGTGTAAATCAGTTTTAATGAATCCTAACGTTAACGAGATTTCACAGTGAGACGGAAAAGTGTTAAAACAGAAGTTTGCTTGTTTTCCCTATGAAAGTCTGATTCTTGTTATATTGTGTGTGCCTCTGTGTGTGTGCAGATGAGCTGCCCTCTGATCCTTTGCAGAGTCGATATGACTCCTGGCTCTGTTTAGTGGATCATTTGAAAATCAAAGCGTTTGTCAACCTGACCCTGGCTGACTCCGTCCGACACGGCGTTCAGAATTTGCTTTTCATCTCAGGCTTTGGTAGGTGGCTTTACCTTTACTGTTGTAGGATTAGGTCCTGTCTGTCACTGAGCAGTAGTTATGGCAGCATTTCCAATATAATACATCATTTTATCATTCATATTTTTCTTATTCAAAGCACAGTTGATACAAGTCTTTGATTCTAGGTGGAATGAGGCCCAACACCCTTGTCTTGGGTTTCTATGATGACTGCACTCCTCATGACCACCTCCAAGGTCATATTCTCCTGTCTACAGGCCATAGCTTTGATACGGTCTGTCCAACCAAAGTCCCTGGAGAGCAACGCTCTCCCTTCTTTCCCAGTCTGCGGGGTGCTGAGGACCCCAAAGACCTCCAGGAAGAGGAATACGTCTCTGTGATTGCTGATGCTGTAAAAATGGGAAAGAATGTGACTCTGGCTCGGTGTTTCGACCAGTTCAACCGGGACAGAGTCTTAGGGTCAGGAAGAAAGATCAGAGGTGTGGCCGGGCCATTCATTGATGTGTGGCCTATGAATCTTCTTCAGCCAGACAGCCATAGTTATGTTGGCATCTGCTCATTGTTTCTTCTCCAGCTGGCTTGTGTGCTTCACGATTCCCGTGCCTGGAACCAGGCGAGACTCCGACTCTTCTTGTGCATGGAGGCTGGCTACAGTCTGCAAGAAAAGGAGGAAGCAAAGCTCCAGGGTATGCTTAGGGATCTAAGGATCTCAGCTCAGGTGCAGATGGTGGCTTGGGATGAGGTGGTGGCGCTACACTGGCAGAGGCAAAGAGAAAGGGCTGAACAGAATGAGGAAGATGAGAGAGAAGACTGTAACCAGACATATCCCAATAATGCCTCTCAACTTACAGATGAGTACATCTGTGCCGTCAATGATATGATTTGCCGTCATGGTGTCCCTCAGCCAGCTGTGCGTTTCTTGTATTTGCCACACCCCCCAGCTGATAGAAGCCGTTACCGTGCCTACCTGCATCAGGTGGACCTGTTGAGTCGAAACCTTGGACCGACATTGCTCGTTCACGGAGTCACTCCTGTGGTTACGACTGACATCTAGAATTTTACTAACTCTTTGTCATCGACTAGCAGAATCTAGTATCGTTCATGGACGGGCTGTGCCTGTTGCCTCCCGATTTATTGACATGTTAGTCGTCAACCACAGTATTACAAACGATGAAAACACTGCAAATCTCAGTTTTAAACTTTAATCAAACATGAATGTTACACACACACACCTATTCCTCCCACTAATACACCAACAAACATGAATGCTTGAGGGAACTGAGGCTATCCCTTTGAAACTGAGATTAGGCCATAGTGGCATTAAGAAAATTAATCTGCACTTTTTTGTGTGAGAGGAGATGATTGTATTAGTAGAAAGCTGATTGGATATTAATGTATTAGATTCTCATTTATTTGCTAAAATATTGCTGCCACAGTTGGGTGTCATCTTGCTATTGTGTGCTTTAAATTTTTCACAGATTTATAGAAAAATAAATGATTGTATTACCTGAATGGCCTGTTTATAGTTAGTAATTGTTAGCTACTACAAAAAAAGTTACACCTGAGTGTTTCCTGTTGAACCTGCAGAGGGCGATATTTGCCTAGCAAACTGCCCACAATCACAGCTATACAAGTAAGAATTTACAAGGCTCTTAGTGCACCACAATGGTGCAAATACCATGTAACTAAATGTGTACTACAAATAAGCTAACATAGACTGATCTGCTCATTCAGAACTCTCCACGTGGTCGGTCTGTTTATGATCGGCTCTCTTGCCAAGATAAAGAATGCAGTTCCCAGAAAAACGGTTGAAAACTTTTCAGGGCTGACAGGATCTCCTTCTGAGTTGTAATTATGGACCAAGTCAGTCTTACTAAACTAATAATAGAGTCCTATGTGTTCCAAATTAAACTTGGAGTCAAGTGTTTTCATTATTATTTTGGATATGACTTCTAGGAGGATTATGTTTGCTGTATACAAACAGCAAAGCACCATTGGCTTAGCACTGAGGGAGCTAAAATTAAATCAAGAAATATTAGGGGGCGAATGTCAGGGCGCTATGCCACAGACTGGGTTATCCAACATGACATTGACCTGGGGTGTACAAATAAATGAACAGATGGTTTAAAGAAAAAGAAACAACAATTTTGGTCTATAACCACCTTGAGATGCTGTGGTGTGAGCTGAGCAAGGCTGGACAATCAAGAAATCCCCCAAATACTCATTGTGCACTTCTTATCAGCATCTCCAGGAAATGATGCTGTGGCTAGAGAAGTTTCTTTGAACTACTAAATTCAAGACTTCACTTAGTTTTTCCAGCCTGAGCTGTGAGTGATTACTGAACACGATCATTAAAGACATGACTGTTTTATCCAGTCAGACTGTGTTGTACTATAATTATTTTATAATGGGAATTTTACTTGTAGTGCAACTTTTTGCCCCTCAGAATAAATCCAGTGTGCAGATGTCGTATCTTTAAGTGTTTTTATGCCACAGGATAGTTTTAAAATAAGAATATGATGTAGATTGCTTGATAACAAGGCAAACTCATCTGTTGCTTTAAAAGATAATTAAAATACAGTGAAGATTTTCTAAATGACACTATTGTTTGGCACACGTATGCTGTGGTGGGTAAGGCGGCGCATACTGAATAGGAGCCAGCGGCATGTCGCATTTAGAGAAATTCTCATGGGTTTACAGCAGAAAACAACACCCACCTACACATTACTGTCAAACAGTATGTGGGAGGGAATTTGTTCACAGATGGCAGCAGATCCAAGGACACCGAGGCACCTTTTTCTCCACTTTTCTAATGAGTGCATTTACTTAGAAGTCACAAAGAAGCAATAGTGCACCAGCACACGGTGACTCCTGTGATCTGACAGTGTGGGCGCACATCGAGTCTGGCCCATCTTTTATATTTAAGGTTTTAAGCTGAAGGTCGGACTCGCTTCAGCGCCGCTGGGAGAACTGCTGGTGCAATAAAAGTGTAATAAAAACACTTCCGGGCTGTGATACTTTTAAATACAGATTGCTGTAGTCCATGAACAAAAAAGTAAGAAAGTACTGTTGTTCTGACACAGTGTGAAATACTGGGTATGAATACATTTTTTTTTTTTAGAGCTTGTAACAGCTTAATCTTGAGCTCCAAACACTCGCAGAAGTAAAGATGCTTGATTAGGTAGACTCCAAGCTATATTAGTGACTAAAATTATTGCTTAAATTATAAATTGCTTAAAATACAAAGGAGTACAATGCTGTTTGTTCTTGTCTGTGATTGATTTAATGATGTTGGGATTGGTCTACAGCAGGGGTGGAGAACTCCGGGCCTCGAGGGCCGGTGTCCTGCAGGTTTTAGTCATCCATCCATGTCAACACGCCTGAATCAAATGATTAGTTCATTACCAGACCTCTGGAGAACTTAAAGACATGTTGAGGAGGTAATTTAGCCATTTAAATCAGCTGTGTTGTCAAGGACACATCCAAAACCTGCAGGACACCGACCCTTGAAGCCTGGAGTTCCCCACCCCTGGTCTACAGGCTTCTGGTGCAGTAAATCTTTCCATTTTAGGGCTGTTAGCCTTGCTTATGGTAGAACATTACAATGTTTGACGGTTAGGCGTGAAATATTACTAAATTAAAGACTAGAAATCTTAAAAATCTATATATATTTTTAGGATTATAAATCTGCACACATTTCCTTGACACATCAGTGTCCAAAATGACAAATAAGAGCCAGTCAGGGGTTATAAGAAAAGCAAGAAAAATGCTCCTAACATAACAATTATGTTTACTGACTGTTTTTTTTTTTTTTAGAAATGAAAACATCTTCTAGTATCCACCCCTGAACATAAATCTTTCCAAACAATCAGACTCTCCTCGTCTGTGTGTGTGTGATTCCTGGTCCAGTCTCCAGGAGCAGTGAATGAGATGAGCAGCCACAAAAAGAACAGCCGGTTTCTTGAATGTAATTATAAAAAAGCCAGGTTAAATACACACAGTCTAACTCTCTACTTAGCTGCTCTTTTAAACATGCAAAGTAATTATATGCACAGCTTGATTTGAGTGGGGAACAAGTCCAGTGGGCATTGGCAGTCAGGCAGAGGACAGAGGAAGAGATGACAAAAAGACAATTGGAGGTCTCATTGCTGGGCAAGGATTTAAACACAGCAGTTAAATGGAGAGAAATCACACTCAGAGGATTAGTCAGAATGAAAGACAAATACTGAGGGCCCCACTTCAGCACCAAACAGCTGTGTATCCACCCAGCATCACCAACTTTGCTCCACTTTCAAAATGTTAATGAGCACCTGATCTCAGTCATTCGAGCTGACCGGGGAGCTGCAAAGCTTATAAAGAGTTTATAAAGAGATAAAGTGAATAATGAGCAGAAACAAGTTTATTGCTGCAGTCTTCCACAACAGTCCCAGTCCCTCAGTGTGGCTCCCATGGGGAAAATTAGTTGCCCACCAGTTTGGCATGACACTGAGCTGGCTGATGCAATTTGCCAACAGCAGATTTAGTGATTGTGGGCAACAGCTATAATGCATCTTGTGACAAAAAGACGGTGCCAACTGTTGCATACGTCACATTTGCTGCAGAGCTGCATATCTTTCGTATAAGTGTATCGACACCCGCCTACACCTCACTGACAAACTGCGTGTGGGAAGGAGCACGTTCACAGGCGGAGGCAGCCTGGGCTCTGAGCACTATAAGGGGATGCCACGTTTACAGTCATAAGAGTAACTCGGAGTGTTCAACTATTTTGGACTGGATACAACGTGCAGTAGTCCTACATGCCTCCTACGAGGAGAAGACTTTTTGCTTTTAGCGCGTATTTCTCGTGCAGCACTGGGGACTGGTTTGAGGGGGATTCCTTCATGCCCACAGGTTGACTCACTTCCGACTGACCAGCTGTAGAATGGAGAAGTGCTGATATATGAAAAGTATAAAGAAGGATCAGTAATGAAAGAAAAAAAAACTGGACCTGCCTTTAGTCTTTAATTAGTGTACAAAAAACAAAATACTATAGACAGTTTGAGAGAAGGGGATAGATTAATGCCCTCCTGGCAAAAAGTTTAAATTAGGTCCAAAACCTTACATATAATTCAGGTGGTCAAATCAATTTTTTAACCTCCAACTTACCATAAATGGTATGAGAAACATCAGAGAAGCAGATTGTAGATATGGCAGCAAAAATGGTAATGACTAAAAATAGTTAAGCTGCTCATATGTTGCTGCTGGGATGACGATATATTTGCTAAATTTCTGTTCAGAAATCTGTTTGCTTGGATTTGAGATGGTCGGACTGCTCGTCTTCCTGTTGGTTCGATTCCCTGCTTCATGCCAGCCCAAAAGTTTGTATGCTGTTTCTACAGCCATAAGTAGCGTTCCAAAGGATGTATCGTATAAATGATGGGTGAAAGCAAATCAAATGCTTCTGCATATCATCCTCTACAAGCAGTATGACAACGATTTTTGATTCTTTCACTTTGTCTTTGAACAACAGTCTGTGACAAAGAACGGCAAATGTGCAACCTGCCATTAATATACAAAGAGCAGTCTGGGAAATGAAGTATATTTCATGTATAAATTCACATGCCATTTCAGTAGGCACACCTTGCTAGTACTGGGTTTGACCACCCTTTTCTTTCAGAGCTGCATTAAGTAATTGTTTCACAGTTTCAATAAGGTGCTGGAAACAGTCCTCAGAGATTTTGTTCCTTATTAACGTGATTGCATCACACAGTTACTGTCGATTTATCAGCTGCACATCCATGATCCAAATCTCCTGATCCACAACACCTGAAAGGTGCTGTATTATTCTGTGATCTGGTGACTGTTTCTGTGTCACGCTCAAGAAACCAGACTGAGGTCATTGGAGCTTTGGGACATGCAGGAAGCAGCAATTAGAAAATGTATACACTGTTGTTGTAAAAGTATAGACATGGACAGCAGCAATACTCGTGTAGGCTGATGTGTGTTTAAATGATGCTCATTTGGAACTAAGGGGCCCAAAGTGAGCCAACACAATATCCCCTATGAAGAAGGCATTTCCACTCAGCTAATTCCCTGGATAATTTTTGTTTTTCTGATCACTCTCTGTAAACCCTAGAGATGACTGTGTGGGAAAATCCCAGTAGATCAGCAGTATTCACTCAGAGCAGCCCGTCTGGCACCAACAACGATGCCATGTTTATCATCTTTCTTTCAAAATTCTGATGCTTGGTTTGAATTTCAGCAGGTCATCTTGACCATGTCTCCATGTCTAAATGGAGTAAATTGCTGCCATGTGATTGACTCATCAGATATTTACGTGAAAGAGCAGTTGAATGGGTGTACCTAATGAAGTGGCAGTGGGTGTGATTCACCAGCTGATAGATGACGGTGTGTTTTTGTCACAAGTGTCCTCACGTGTCTTCAAGCATTGTGGTATTATCAAGTCTTTTCCGAATTTCCTTCTCTGACATCTCCTCTGTAGTCTTGTCATTATTAAACCTCTGAAAAGACACATCTATAAGTTCTGATTAACCATCAGCTGCATTTTCTTAAAGTATGAGGACCACTCAAGTGAAAAATAGTATGAGTGGGAGCTGGCCGCATAGTGCTGCCAATATATGTACGCTGATGTAAAAATTTCCCACATCATCTGCCTCTACTCTCTGGATCTGCACTAGTGACGTAGTTCAAACTGCTGTTACTGTGGAAATGGCTCCACTTCATGTGAGAGTGGGCGGACTGGGAGGATATGTCGACAATTTAGTCCTGTGGAAGTGTACGATTCTTTCTCCTCCTGCTGCCACAGCATCCATAGGCCTAGTTCAGGTTGAGATTTTACTAGAATCTTTCATGGAAAATAAATACTTGATCTTAAAAGTTTCACTTCCTGGTTAAATACATGTTAATAAATAATCAATTCCTAGCATATTATTTAGTTTGTAACTGGGGGATAAACAAAAGAAGGCTTTATGAGTTTGTCCTGTCAGTTAAATAGACAGATTTTTGTCCGATGTGGTCATGACTTAACCTGTTAGCAGTCGGACGTACCGCCCACGGTACATTGGATGGTTTAGGGGACTAATTGTAAATTTGTAGGACTGCTAAGGGGTTAAAGGAGTAAGTGACTCGTTTTAGATGCATTTGTGTCTCCATTTACTGCCCTACATTAAGCAAATATAACTGTTATCAATTGAGACCACAGCAGGACCTTGGGCACAGTGTCAATAAAAATACTGATAGCTTTGGTGTATGTTTGCTTTCAACTTATTCACTGCTTTTATTTGATAGTCGTTTACTGTATCACGTTGCTTTATTCTTTGCACACAGGTGGCTAAACTGGGGCACTTGGTCGAACCTGATGCAGCTTTGCCTGAATAAACTTTCCTTCATGAAGGTTATAATGTCCATTTTTAACCCTCTTGGAGAACTGGTCTAATTTCAGACTTAAATTTAAGGTGCTGCTGAAGTGTAGCTCATTACATGGATGGTCCTTTTGATAACAGATACACCTCTCTGTATAATACAGTGCAGTTAAAAAGCGACACAACCTGTCGCCTTCAAAGACTGACATGGAGTGGCATTTCAAGTCTGATGGTAAGTGTTAAACTATTCCGTCATACAGCACTTTATTCTGCTGAGCTGTCTTTGGACTGTAGTAAGAAGCAAATGGAGAAACTCCACTCAGGCGCAGTGGAAACATGGAAATGTCATAAAGAGATGCCTTAGCTAACGTTTGAACCAGGAACCTTTTTGATGTGATGCGGCAGAGCTCACCAAAGTGAGCACAAAGTTTAGGAAGCACTATCAGATGATTTTGGAACTAATAAAAAAAGAAAACAACAACCTTCTTGAAAGGCAATTGTGTCAGTGAGGTGTCCCTAATAAATTGACAACCCAATTTCAATTGCCACATAAATGTTTAGCATATGCTCAACATTAATACATACATACATACATACATACATACATACATACATATATACATAAAACTTCACCCTCAATAAACTCAAAATAACAATTTTATTTAACATGCAAGTCAAATATTTAAAATCAAAGGTTAATTAATTCAAACAATTCATTATTAAGGTAAATGTGCTCGGTTTAAACTGAATGTATATGAATCAAGGAAGTTTCAGTTGACCAGATTTCATCAAATTTAGCATTTTATGT